TCCAATAGAACCGTCAGCCCCCCCTCAAGATGTTAAATGTGTCAGCACGCGCTCCACGGCCATTTTGGTAAGTTGGCGCCCGCCGCCGCCGGAAACGCACAACGGGGCCCTGGTGGGCTACAGCGTCCGCTACCGACCGCTGGGCTCGGAGGACCCGCAACCCAAGGAGGTGAACGGCATCCCCCCGACCGCCACCCAGATCCTGCTGGAGGCGCTGGAGAAGTGGACCGAGTACCGCATCACCACCGTGGCGCACACAGAGGTGGGACCAGGGCCCGAGAGCTCGCCCGTGGTCGTCCGCACCGACGAGGACGGTAAGCCCCAGCCACGGCCAGGACCCCCGCAGGCCCCAGCCCGGCCCCCGCTGTGAGCATTTCACCTCTGGAAACCCGGGCTGGAGGTCAAAAGGCAGAAGCCACGGTCACGGGAGGCGTGGAGGCCAGCAGCCCCCCGCCAGCCCCAGCCTTCGTGGTCTTGGAGTTCGGGGTCCAAGCGAGACCCTCTGGGGGCTCATAGCCTTTGGAGCAACCTCAGCCCTGAGCCTGGGAAGCTCAGTCTGTGTCTGGTTTAGGTGGGGAGCACAGGCCAGCCCTGACACCCGGGTTTCAGACTCGGGGGAACAGCATTTGGTGCTTCTTGAGCCCGCGCTTAGCCGGGTGAGGACGGGGTGCCGTTGGCACGTGCTGGCCACAGAGGCCACTGCTGTGGTGCGAACATGCCCACCTGCTGGCTGATCTCTGGCCGAAGAGCTTTCTTCTGGGGAGTTAGGTGTGATTTGGGGAGAGATAGTCGTCCCAGGGGTCAAATGAGCAAGCCGCCGTCCTGAGAAATCTCAGTCCCTCTCTGGAAGCCTGGCACGCACTGAGCCGCTGGCCCAGACAAGCCCATTGGCAGCAGGGCACTAGGACCAGATGGTGGGCACCTTAGGGGCAAGATGGCAGGAGTCGGCTTCCTCTTCGTGCCAAACCCAGGGAGGTGGGGGGTGTCCAATTAAGACCCCCACCCTGCAGGAGTGTGTGGGTGCTTGAGTTCATATCCCAGCATTGCCTCTTGCTCTGGAATCGCTTCTCTTAGCCATCTGTACAACGGGCCTTGTGCCTGGCAAGGATGGAAGCGCGTGGGTCTGATGTTGAAGACCGTAGCTGGCATGACCATAGCTGTCATGCTCTCAGCTCAGGCTCTGGGTGGGTGGATGGGGAGCCTCAGTTTCCCCATCTGTCGGTGGGGCCGTGGGGGAGCTGGGGGGAGGCAAGACGGAGGCACGAAGCTCTGAGGCAGCCACTTGGCATCCCAGTTTTGGGCACCTGCCCGGGCACGGGGCGGGTCCACCGGTAACGGCCGCGCCTGCCCCCCTCCCCTCCACCACCAGTGCCCAGCGCGCCTCCGCGGAAGGTGGAGGTGGAGGCGCTCAACGCCACGGCCATCCGCGTGCTGTGGCGCTCGCCCGCGCCCGGCCGGCAGCACGGCCAGATCCGCGGCTACCAAGTCCACTATGTGCGCATGGAGGGCGCCGAGGCTCGCGGGCCACCGCGCATCAAGGACGTCATGCTGGCCGATGCCCAGGTGGGCAGGCGCGGGGCGGCGCGGGGCGGCCCGGGGCAGCGGGGGGTGGGCCCCCGCACTCCTGTCTCCGCTGCTTCTCTCTCTGGCCTCACCTCCCGCCTCTCTCCCTCGCCCTCTCCTCCCGCGCTCAGTGGGAGACGGATGACACGGCCGAATATGTGAGTAGCGCCCCACCGGGTACCCTTCCCACGGGCCGTGCTGTGCTGTGACCCCTGCACGCCCCTGGCACAAGGGTCTCCTCCCCCCCAGGTCGTGTGCCCCAGCTGGAGCACACAGCCTCAGTTTTCACATCAGGCAAGTGGGTGCTCGGGCCAGCTGAGGGTCTGTGGTATAGTGGGGTGACCTGGGTACCCAGAAGAGGCCCAGAGGCCAGACTTGGGGGTACACACCTCCCTATCCTCTTTTACTGTACCCCTGGGTGTCCTACTCCACCCATGCCTGGAATGTCTGTCTTTATTAGCGTCCCTGCCTGTCATAATCCAGCCCATCTTGGCCCTGTCTGGTCTAGAACGTTCTTTCTGTGGCCAGCCTCCCCTCTATTCTGGCCCGTTACTTACAGAGCCATCAGTGGGCAGGGAGGGGCCTGTGGTGTCCCCGTTATCACCCCAGATCTTTCTCAGGAAGCTCTGGACCAGATACCTTGCTGGGCAGCTTGCCACAAATGCTGCCCCTCTCTGTGCATTTTACTCCAAAAATAGGGACTAACGGCTTTTTGGAGAGCCCCAAGTTTGGTATCAAATTTACACTGGCCGCACCCACTCCCCTACTTTGCATCTGACTGTGAGAGGCTCAGGGGCAGGAGACCCTCCCTTTGTGTACTCCGGACCCTGGTCTGGGGCCATCCCCATCTCCAGGCATGCTGGCCCGTGTTTGGGGGGGGGGTGCATGCATGCAGATGTGGGCTCAGGAGTGGCTGAGGACGTCCACCGCTCTGTCTGTCTGTGTGTGCGTGATTCGAGGTGCACGTGAGAGCTCCGGCACTTGGGGAGAAATAGTCATCAACTAAACCACCTGCTGGATGCTTGACCCTGTGCTAGGTGCTTTCGGCACAGTGATGGTCAAGGCAGGCCTGAGCCCACCCTCCTGAGGGTCAGTCCCGCAGGGGAGGGGAGCAAGGTGGACAGTCCTCCAGAGAATATACACATACAGGTGCTGCAGACACACCCAGGGGAAGCCACATGCTGGGTTCCACATCCTCACAGTGAAACAAAGGCCACAGAGGAGCAAGCCACGGGGTCACTGCTGTGTACTGTTGAGTTGGAACGGACTCAGAGCTGACCCTCCAGCGGGTTTTCAGAGGCAGTTGATGCAGGGGAGGAGACTGCCTGTATTTCTCCCACAGAGCAGCTGCTGGGTTCGAACCATGTGCCTTTATGTTAGCAGCTCACCTCCTTCCTAGTACATAGACATTTTCTATCTACACCTGTGCCATCCGTCTGCAGGGAGTGCTGACTGTGCCCCACCAGCAGTTCAAATCCATCAGCAGCGCCTTGGGAGAGAGGTGGACAGTCTCCTCTCGTGTGATTTACATCCGCAAAAACCTAACCGAGAGTCAGCTCTGAGTCTTTTCTGACTCCGCAGCAATGAATAAGAAAGAGCAGGCTTATTAAGTGTGCAGTAGCGAGACAGAGTGGGAGAAAGATGGGCCATCTCCTCCCTGGAGAGATTCACCGGCCTCGGAAACCCAAATCTGGATCCACGTGGCAGCCCTGGTCTTGGTTTTACACAGTGAACAAGCCTGAAATCTGTGACACACAGGGCATTTGCTGTTGGGAAAATTGATTGCCACAAAGCTCCAGTTTGTTTAAAGAAGACAACAAAACTCACCCTGCAAGCTGTGAAACATCGTTACAGCTGATGGGGGCCGTGGAGACATATCTACAGCCTGAGGTGTGCAGACGGCAGCCTTGATGTAGGGTCTGCCCATTTACCTACTGGTTGATTTCAGGCTGCCCAAGAGATACATAGTAACTCTTGCTTGTACAGTGTTTCCATCACACAGAAACAGTAGCCACAAAGAAGAATCTCAGCCAGTAGCTCCTAAGAAATAATGAGGCAGGGATTTGTTTTGAGGAGTTTCTGGGTAGGGATTGCCCTGGGACTTCAGTCCTTTATGTGCTAATTGAAGAAGGGTGGTTGGTGTTGGGATGGTCAGCCTATTCTGTGAGAACGGGAGGGGTGCCCATGCTGGGACGGATCCCAAAGGTTTTCAGAGCTGCACTGTTAACTGCTGGTGTCGTTGTTAGTAGCCCTCAGGTCGGCCTCAACTCTTTGCCACTTTAGTAAAACTGAACAAAGCATTGCCTGGTTGCTAATGGTGTGATGATTCCAGTGGTGGTGAATTTTTTCCTATACTTTGTGTATAAATTGCACATCAGTTGGGGGTGGGGGAGCAAGGGCTGGAGGAGAGAACCATGGGGTTTGCAGCCCCAGGGAGGAGTTCTGGGTGGCACGCTGATAGGTCTCCACTGCTAACAAGAGGTTGGTGGTGTGGATCCCCTCAGAGGAAGACAGGCCTCGTCATCTGCTTCCATAAAGCCAAGGGCGTTGAACGCGCCCTCGGTATACACGTCTCCTCTGATGTGGGTGGGCAGCTGAGTCGGTCCAGATTGTCTTCCTCGGCAGCTTTTGGCTTCCCCTCCCCAGGCTGCACGTATGAGCTTTGTTCCAGCGTGAAGAACGACTAAGGAACATAGTATTGGGGGTCCTGCCAGTCCATTTAGGAACAGTAAGCCTGGCCGTTTTAATGCTCACCCCTTCTCTCCAGGACCACCTGCCATGGCCCCTTTGACAGTGGTCAGCAGTGAGGCCGGGCACTCCCTCGTTCTTCTGGCCTCAGAGTTGAGGTTCCTGGGGTCTCTCGGCCCTGTGGACTAATTCTGGGTATCTTTGGTTTTCTTCTGAGTCTCTGTTCTGGTTCTGGAAAAACCAGTGGTCGTATTTTCAGCAGCTGCTGGCAAGCTCTTTAAGACCCCAGTTGCTCTGCTAGGGGCTTCTGTGTGTTCTGAGCCGTCTACCTTTGCTTTTCCATTGTTGGGCTGTAAGTTTTGTGTACTTAGGTTTGCTTTTTTGGTTCATTCATTGTTGCACATTGTCCTCCCTCCCCCAGTCCACTTCGCGGGGCATCTCTTGTTCCAGATTGTTGTCATAGGTACTTAATTTTTAACAATGAAAGTTCTATTCGAACATAACTGGATTATAGAATTCTGGGAAATATCATCGCCGGCTCTGGCAGGGTGGCACTTGGCATCTTCAGCACAACATGGGTGTTTAGAAGCAGTGGGCACAGCCTGTGCAAAGGCCCTGGGGTGGGCCGAGGCCAGTGAGTGCGAGGAACCTGGAGCGTAGTGAGTGGGGGCAGGGGGCCCTGTGGCTGTAGTGGAGACCGGACTTTACCCCAGGGAAGTCTGAGCCCTAGTGGTCAGAGGAGGGACTAGCCTGACCTGGGTACTCTCTGGCGCCCTCTGACCACTGTGGGGAGAACAGCGTGTGGACGAGAGCAGGGCAGGCTGCCATGCTGGTCCAGGCAGGCAGTTAGGACTGTGTGAGGCTGGCCGTGTGCGCCAGAGTGAGCATGGCTGTGCATCATGTCGTGGTCTGTGCATGAGCCTGTGTGCACGTCTCTCCTGTCCTGGGCCCCTTGCTTGACCTCATCCTGGCGTCGGGGTGGGCCAGCACGCCCCGCCCCAGCACTGACCCTGAGCCCTGCCCGCAGGAGATGGTCATCACAAACCTGCAGCCTGAGACTGCATACTCCATCACGGTAGCCGCCTACACCATGAAGGGCGACGGCGCTCGCAGCAAACCCAAGGTGGTCGTGACCAAGGGAGCAGGTAGGGAGACCACCTGTTGGGAGAGGCCAGCCCTGACAGAGCTATCCCTTCCTCCCCCCCAGCCAATGGGGCATCTGCCCCCCTAAGGGCATCGTGTTTTAGAGCAGCACTGACCGCTCAGAGCCCGTGCGTGTTCTGCCCAGTGTTCCCCGGGGGCACAGCTCAGTAAACGCCCTGATGAGGCCTGCAAGAAGCCCAACTCTTCCCGCATTGTGTCCGACCCCAGAGCACAGGGCAGGGTTCTAGATACTTGTGCCTCTCCAGGACACGAGCCGTGGGCCAACACGAGGGGAAGACAGAAATGAAGGGAGCGGTGGATGAGTTTTTCTGAGAGGTCGCTGGTGGCACGTACCTCATATGCTCCCACCTCAGGGCCTTTGCACATGCGGTTCCCCCTCTCTGGAAGTCTGTTCTTGCGCCCTAGCCCATGGCTCCCAGCCTTACCAGGCCTTTGCACAAATGCCACCTCCCCAGTGGAGGCCTCCTAGGAAACCCTGAAACAGCAGCCCCAGCCCAGGCTCCCGGCCTCCCAGTGGCCTTGTGGCCTGACGCCCACCCCTGTCCTCTTCCTGCAGTGCTGGGCCGCCCCACCCTGTCGGTGCAGCAGACCCCCGAGGGCAGCCTGCTGGCGCGCTGGAAGCCCCCAGCCAGTACCGCCGAGGACCAGGTCCTGGGCTACCGCCTGCAGTTCGGCCGCGAGGACTCGACCCTGGCCACCCTGGAGTTCCCGCCCTCCGAGGACCAGTACACGGCGCCGGGCGTGCACAAGGGGGCCACGTACGTGTTCCGGCTGGCAGCCCGCAGCCGCGGGGGCCTGGGCGAGGAGGCGGCCCAGGTCCTGAACATCCCCGAGGACGCGCCCCGCGGCCACCCCCAGATCCTCGAGGCGGCCGGCAATGCCACGGCCGGCACCGTACTGCTCCGCTGGCTGCCACCCGTGCCCGCCGAGCGCAACGGGGCCATTGTCAAGTACACGGTGGCCGTGCGGGAGGCCGGCGCCCTGGGCCCCGCCCGAGAGACCGAGCTGCCCGCCGCGCCCGAGCCGGGCGCCGAGAACGCACTCACGCTCCAGGGCCTCAAGCCCGACACGGCCTACGACCTCCAAGTCCGAGCCCACACGCGCCGGGGCCCCGGCCCCTACAGCCCCCCCGTCCGCTACCGGGCGTTCCTGCGGGACCAAGGTAGGCGCGCGGCGACTGGCGGCACCAGAGACGGACCGGGCCTCGTGCCCACCCCCACCCCAACCCCCCCCTCCCCCGCCCAGGTAAGTGGTCACTTTTCTGCTTCCTCATGGACACTGAAGGCAAGTCCGGACCCCGAGGCTCCGGCGTTGGCAAAGGTGGGACGTGCCTCGGTGGCACCGCCGCCCCCGCCGCCCCCACCCCGTCCCCCTCTGCCCTCTCCCCCTCTCCTCCCTGCTCTTCTTCCACCTTCTCTCTGCAGCTGCGCCGCAGGGCCCGGGGACAGGCAGGCAGGGCCGGGCCAGGGCCAGGCAGGAAGGCCGTGGGCACAGGCGCAGTGGACGACAGGGAGCCTGGGCCGCCCCGCGCCCACGCCTGCCCTCACCGGTCTCTCTCCTCTTCCCTCCCTGCGGCCGCTACCCGATGCAGTCTCGCCCAAGAACTTCAAGGTGAAGATGATCATGAAGACGTCGGTGCTGCTCAGCTGGGAGTTCCCGGACAACTATAACTCACCCACACCCTACAAGGTGGGCCCTGCGCCGCAGGGGCCGGGGCCGGAGGGCGTGGCACGGGGCCGGGGGGCGTGGCACGGGGCCGGGGGGCGTGGCACGGGGGGGGCGGGCACAGCCTGGCAGGTGGGCTCACCAGAACAAGGTGGGCCCTGCGTGGGCATGGCACCAGAGG